TTGAATCCTTGGCGGGTCATGATGTATAAGTGCAGTGAATCCTTGGCAGGTCACGATGTATAAGTGCTATGATTCCTTGGCAGGTCATGATATATAAGTGCCATGAATCCTTGGCAGGTCATGATGTATAAGTGACGTGAATCTTTGGCAGGTCATGATGTATAAGTGCCGTGAATCCTTGGCAGGTCATGATGTATAAGTGCTGTGAATCCTTGGCAGATCATGATGTATAAGTGCTGTGAATCCTTGGCAGGTCATGATGTATAAGTGCCGTGAATCTTTGGCAGGTCATGATGTATAAGTGCCGTGAATCCTTGGCAGGTCATGATGTATGAGTGCCCTGAATCCTTGGCAGGTCATGATGTATAAGTGCCCTAAATCCTTGGCAGGTCATGATGTATAAGTGCCCTGAATCCTTGGCAGGTCGTGATGTATTAGTGCCGTGAATCCTTGGCAGGTCATGATGTATAAGTGCATTAAATCCTTGGCAGGTCATGATATATTAGTGCCGTGAATCCTTGGCAGGTCATGATGTATAAGTGCCGTGAATCCTCGGCAGGTCATGATGTATAAGTGCTGTGAATCCTTGGCAGGTCATGATGTATAAGTGCCGTAAATCTTTGGCAGGTCCTGATGTATAAGTGCCATGAATCTTTGTCAGGTCATGATGTATAAGTGCATTGAATCCTTGGCAGGTCCTGATGTATAAGTACATTGAATCCTTGGCAGGTCATGATGTATAAGTACACTGAATCAGGTCATGAGTGATACAAAGTGCCGTGAATCTTTGGCAGGTCATGATGTATAAGTGCCGTGAATCTTTGGCAGGTCTTGATGTATAAGTGCATAGAATCCTTGGCAGGTCATGATGTATAAGTACACTGAATCAGGTCATGAGTGATACAAAGTGCCGTGAATCTTTGGCAGGTCATGATGTATAAGTGCCGTGAATCTTTGGCAGGTCATGATGTATAAGTGCATTGAATCCTTGGCAGGTCATGATGTATAAGTACACTGAATCAGGTCATGAGTGATACAAAGTGCCGTGAATCTTTGGCAGGTCATGATGTATAAGTGCCGTGAATCTTTGGCAGGTCATGATGTATAAGTGCATTGAATCCTTGGCAGGTCATGATGTATAAGTGCATTGAATCCTTAGTAGGTCATGATGTATAAGTCTCGTGTATCTTTGGCAGGTCCTGATGTATAAATGCAGTGAATCTTTGGCAGGTCATGATGTATAAGTACACTGAATCAGGTCATGAGTGATACAAAGTGCCGTGAATCTTTGGCAGGTCCTGATGTATAAGTGCCGTGAATCTTTGGCAGGTCATGATGTATAAGTGCCGTGAATCTTTGGCAGTTCCTGATGTATAAGTGCATTGAATCCTTGGCAGGTCATGATGTATAAGTGCCGTGAATCAGGTTCTGAGTGATACAAAGTGCCGTGAATCTTTGGCAGGTCATGATGTATAAGTGCCGTGAATCTTTGGCAGGTCATGATGTATAAGTGCATTTAATCCTTGGCAGGTCATGATGTATAAGTACACTGAATCAGGTCATGAGTGATACAAAGTGCCGTGAATCTTTGGCAGGTCATGATGTATAAGTGCCGTGAATCTTTGGCAGGTCATGATGTATAAGTGCATTGAATCCTTGGCAGGTCATGATGTATAAGTGCATTGAATCCTTAGTAGGTCATGATGTATAAGTCTCGTGTATCTTTGGCAGGTCCTGATGTATAAATGCAGTGAATCTTTGGCAGGTCATGATGTATAAGTACACTGAATCAGGTCATGAGTGATACAAAGTGCCGTGAATCTTTGGCAGGTCATGATGTATAAGTGCCGTGAATCTTTGGCAGGTCATGATGTATAAGTGCATTGAATCCTTGGCAGGTCATGATGTATAAGTGCATTGAATCCTTAGTAGGTCATGATGTATAAGTCTCGTGTATCTTTGGCAGGTCATGATGTATAAGTGCCGTGAATCTTTGGCAGGTCATGATGTATAAGTGCATTGAATCCTTGGCAGGTCATGATGTATAAGTGCCGTGAATCAGGTTCTGAGTGATACAAAGTGCCATGAATCTTTGGCAGGTCATGATGTATAAGTGCCGTGAATCCTTGACAGGTCATGATGTATAAATGCATTGAACCTTTGGCAGGTCATGATGTATATTGCCGTGAATCTTTGGCAGGTCATGATGTATAAGTGCATTGAATCTTTGCCAGGTCATGATGTATAAGTGCCGTGAATCCTCGGCAGGTCATGATGTATAAGTGCTGTGAATCCTTGGCAGGTCATGATGTATAAGTGCCGTAAATCTTTGGCAGGTCATGATGTATAAGTGCCATGAATCTTTGTCAGGTCATGATGTATAAGTGCATTGAATCCTTGGCAGGTCCTGATGTATAAGTACATTGAATCCTTGACAGGTCATGATGTATAAGTACACTGAATCAGGTCATGAGTGATACAAAGTGCCGTGAATCTTTGGCAGGTCATGATGTATAAGTGCCGTGAATCTTTGGCAGGTCATGATGTATAAGTGCATTGAATCCTTGGCAGGTCATGATGTATAAGTACACTGAATCAGGTCATGAGTGATACAAAGTGCCGTGAATCTTTGGCAGGTCATGATGTATAAGTGCCGTGAATCTTTGGCAGGTCATGATGTATAAGTGCATTGAATCCTTGGCAGGTCATGATGTATAAGTGCATTGAATCCTTAGTAGGTCATGATGTATAAGTCTCGTGTATCTTTGGCAGGTCCTGATGTATAAATGCAGTGAATCTTTGGCAGGTCATGATGTATAAGTACACTGAATCAGGTCATGAGTGATACAAAGTGCCGTGAATCTTTGGCAGGTCATGATGTATAAGTGCCGTGAATCTTTGGCAGGTCATGATGTATAAGTGCCGTGAATCTTTGGCAGTTCCTGATGTATAAGTGCATTGAATCCTTGGCAGGTCATGATGTATAAGTGCCGTGAATCAGGTTCTGAGTGATACAAAGTGCCATGAATCTTTGGCAGGTCATGATGTATAAGTGCCGTGAATCCTTGACAGGTCATGATGTATAAATGCATTGAACCTTTGGCAGGTCATGATGTATATTGCCGTGAATCTTTGGCAGGTCATGATGTATAAGTGCATTGAATCTTTGCCAGGTCATGATGTATAAGTGCATTGAATCCTTGGCAGGTTATGATGTATAAGTACACTGAATCCTTGGCAGGTCATGATGTATAAGTGCAGTGAATCTTTGGCAGGTCATGATGTATAAATGCAGTGAATCTTTAGCAGGTCATGATGTATAAATGCATTGCATCCTTGGCAGGTCCTGATGTATAAGTGCAGTGAATCCTTGGCAGGTCATGATGTATAAGTGCCATGAATCTTTGGCAGGTCATGATGTATAAATGCATTGAATCCTTGGCAGGTCATGATGTATAATTGCCGTGAATCCTTGGCAGGTCCTGATGTATTAGTGTATTGAATCCTTGACAGGTCATGATGTATAAATGCATTGAACCTTTGGCAGGTCATGATGTATATGGCCGTGAATCTTTAGCAGGTCATGATGTATAAGTGCATTGAATCTTTGCCAGGTCATGATGTATAAGTGCATTGAATCCTTGGCAGGTCATGATGTATAAGTGTCGGGAATCCTTGGCAGGTCCTGATGTATTAGTGCATTGAATCCTTGACAGGTCATGATGTATAAATGCATTGAACCTTTGGCAGGTCATGATGTATATGGCCGTGAATCTTTGGCAGGTCATGATGTATAAGTGCATTGAATCTTTGCCAGGTCATTATGTATAAGTGCATTGAATCCTTGGCAGGTTATGATGTATAAGTGCATTGAATCCTTGGCAGGTTATGATGTATAAGTGCATTGAATCCTTGGCAGGTCATGATGTATAAGTGCAGTGAATCTTTGGCAGGTCATGATGTATAAATGCAGTGAATCTTTGGCAGGTCATGATGTATAAATGCATTGCATCCTTGGCAGGTCCTGATGTATAAGTGAAGTGAATCTTTGGCAGGTCATGATGTATAAATGCATTGAATCCTTGGCAGGTCATGATGTATAAGTGAAGTGAATCTTTGGCAGGTCCTGATGTATAAATGCATTGAATCCTTGGCAGGTCATGATGTATAATTGCCGTGAATCTTTGGCAGGTCATGATGTATAAGCGCAGTGAATCTTTGGCAGGTCATGATGTATAAGTGCAGTGAATCTTTGGCAGGTCATGATGTATAAGTGCAGTGAATCTTTGGCAGGTCATGATGTATAAGTGCATTGAACCCTTGGCGGGTCATGATGTATAAGTGCAGTGAATCCTTGGCAGGTCACGATGTATAAGTGCTATGATTCCTTGGCAGGTCATGATATATAAGTGCCATGAATCCTTGGCAGGTCATGATGTATAAGTGCCGTGAATCTTTGGCAGGTCATGATGTATAAGTGCCGTGAATCCTTGGCAGGTCATGATGTATAAGTGCCGTGAATCCTTGGCAGATCATGATGTATAAGTGCTGTGAATCCTTGGCAGGTCATGATGTATAAGTGCCGTGAATCTTTGGCAGGTCATGATGTATAAGTGCCCTGAATCCTTGGCAGGTCATGATGTATGAGTGCCCTGAATCCTTGGCAGGTCATGATGTATAAGTGCCCTAAATCCTTGGCAGGTCATGATGTATAAGTGCCCTGAATCCTTGGCAGGTCGTGATGTATTAGTGCCATGAATCCTTGGCAGGTCATGATGTATAAGTGCATTAAATCCATGGCAGGTCATGATGTATAAGTGCCCTGAATCCTTGGCAGGTCGTGATGTATTAGTGCCGTGAATCCTTGGCAGGTCATGATGTATAAGTGCATTAAATCCTTGGCAGGTCATGATGTATAAGTGCCGTGAATCCTTGGCAGGTCATGATGTATAAGTGCAGTGAATCTTTGGTGCCAACGTCTAAAATATCAAAACTCAATGTTTTTGTTTTAGGGACATTTATTTTCAACAATCTCATATATTTAAAATTTAAAAGAAAACTAAACCTTAAATACAGTCTCTGACATGTGTCATTTGCATTATCAGGGAGAATGAAGTGACTTAAATTGTCCTGCCAGAAATGTCCTACATGAATCAACTGCATGGGGTGCAAAGAACAACATATTGGACAAACGCAATATTTGCAAGCTTGAATCCGAGTGGACAAGCAGCACATGAAACACCCAGAACTATGTTGCCTACCTTTCAGAGCACATATAGGCACATGTGAGCAGGACAAGGAAATCAAATTTATCGGACAAACTGAAAGGAACAATATTTTATTGATATGCATATCCAGGATTAATTAGAACATAAACATTACATCAATAGCTCAGTGTTGTTGCCACAGGACACCTGCGCCATCACCTGCTACTGATGACATCATAATTAATGCAGTGTTCGAAATAGCTGCCTGTCCACTAGCCAAATGCCAATGACTTTTAAATTTGGCTCATAACATTTCCGCAAAGCTGGACCGACTCCAGTTGAAAATTAGTCAACACATATTAATGTCTATGAATCATCAAGTCAGATAAGGCCTCATTTAATATCCAAGTCTGGTGTCATTTTCATAGTTTATTGGAAGTGTTTAGGGCTAGCAAAATATGATGAGGGCTTGCAACATTGTTTTTGTAAACCAGCCCTCCTGGCCAGGGAACTGTGGCAACTAATTCATACACTAAATCAATGTAACTCTTGCATGACGACAGAACCCTCACGCACAATGTACAGTACACTTCTATTGCATGTCATTTTGTTTACATAAAATATCTATTCATAAATACACATCACATAAGACCAAATTTACAAATAAACATTTCAAAACTGCACAAGTACTGCAGTGCCAGCACCTGTGTACCAATCAACCTAACAATGATGGACTGATGTCAACTCCTCATACTACAACAAGGAATGGTGGAAGTGTTCCCATCAGTCTACAGTCTACAGCAGGGGGAGACCCATACAAGGTCAAAAGAGTACTCCGTAACTAAATACAACATTATAATAAACATAACTAAGCAAATTATCTTATCATTAACTCTACAAATCTAAAGTTTGGTATGAGCTGTCACATGCAGTATGTTTAACCCAAGGATATCCAAGTGGAATACAGGTATCTTGGTAGGAATTCCCGTGATGATAAGTACGCTTCGGTCTGTGATATCCCTCCTACTTGTCTGGGCATGCTGATAATATAGTGCAACCAGAGACTATGAGTTGATAGTCCATGTTTACTTCTGGTTATCCATTCCAGGTAAACTGGGACAACATGGAGTGAACATATCTTATCTTTTGGTAAATTGCATTAGGAACCAAATAGTTGGGCTGGGACAAGTCTAAATTACTACCGGTATACCCAACCCCCTATCACCAAACACTACCCGGGTACCCGGTGTAGGTCTCAAGAGTGAGGTACAAAGTGTCCGATTAGGAATTGTTTTACTAAAGCCCTGGCAAAAAGTATTTAGATCCATGTATAAAACAATCTGGTCAGGCATACACTGAAGCTGACTGAGGTGTTATCTGTACTAAAACATGTCAGAAGGAACAAGTGCAGAGTGCAGAAGTGTGAGCATTAGTGACTTGAGTGTAACCATGGTGTTTCATTGTAGTCTTTAAAAACATATATCCCATGAGAAACTACAGGTCCGGGTAGTCCTGTGGTAACCCGGGTCCCTCTTAGAATCTACCAGGCCCTACTACACCAAGTTACCCATACCTGCCTTACTAACTAGTTCATCAAAATTAGCCAACATTGAGATAGACAATAAGGTTAACAACTGCAATGAATGAAGATGAAAACATCCGGATCTATGTCTGAGGCACTGACCCTGTGAATGAGACTCAATCCTGAAAATAAAGTATCACATGTACACCTGGGAAAGTTCACTGCCTTCGTCTTTCTCCAATGATGTAGGCTGCACTTGATTTCAGACCTAAACACCCGTGTATACAACTACAACATCATCAGAGAGACAAGTGTCTTCACAGGACTACATGTGTTATTTGATTGAGATTTGGTTAGAAAGCAATGGGTACTACAGGAATGTGTGAGAATGGAGGTCCCATGTATGTAGTATGGCTGGAATATTGCTAAAACAGCACCACACTGAACTCACTCTCAATCCCACTGATCCAGGAGTGCTGGGGCATTGCAAGCAACAGTCATCACACAAGCAGTGTATGGTAGGAAGACAGGATTCACCCAGACCTCTTTCCCACCCAGTGGACTCCTCAGGTTCTTGGATCTGTCACATAAGCAGGCAGTACAGCATTTGAATTTGTCCATTAATGTGTGAAGACTCTGATCCTGTGAGTAAAAAACTACAGTTGATGATACTGTAATAAGTGTGCTGGGTAAGTAGTTGCTCAGCTGTGCTCACGCAGAAGCCATACTGTTGTCCACGATGTGGTAATCACAGTGCTCATGCAGAAGACCCGGGTTCTATTCCCAACATGGGTACATTGTGTGAAGCCCTTTTCTGGTGTCCCCCGCCGTGATATTGCTGGAATATTGCTAAATGCGGTGTTAAACAATAATCATTCACTCACTCATTCATGACAAGATCCTACGCCATAATTCATCAGAAAGGTCATAGTTAATGTATAGGCCACGCTTCATGAGAAAGGAAAGACCTTCCTTCATGAGAAAGGCCCTACTTCATGAGAAAGGCCCTACTTCATGAGAAAGTCTATGTTTTGGCCCTTCTTCATCCGGGGTAGAATAGGTCTTCAGCAACCCAAGCTTGCAGTAAAAGGCGACTATGCTTGTCGTAAGAGGCGACTAATGGGATCAGGTGGTCAGTCTCCCTGACATGGTTTTGATGCATGTCATTGTATCCCAATTGTGTGGACTGATGCTCATATCAATCACAGGACTGTCTGGTCCAGACTCGATTATTTACAGACCACCTTCATATAGTTGGAATATTGCTGAGTGTCGCGCTAAATAACTAAAAACAAACAAACAATACTTCATGAGAAAGGCCATAAGCTATGTAAAGGCCATAATTCATTTCAAAGGCCATTGTGTATGAAATAGGCCATAATATTGTACAAACACATTGCAAAGATGACCATATTATAAGAGTTCAAGTATTATGCTTGAGCAAAATGCAGGCCTACTTCTCTGATGCCATTTTAAATACTATGAGAACAATACATGGCTACATTCACAGCTGACCATGTGCACAACATTGTTATAGTCATCTTAACAACAAACAAAACAACCACCACAATCTGATAAAAAATGTAAAGATTCCTATAGATGGCACGTCACAGCTTGGCTCAGCTGATCATGTGATTGGTAGAGAATGGCAATAAAAAACTGAAGAACCCATTGCAGCCACATTGAAGTATAAAACTGCGACTATAGCACTGTGGCCTGCTGTGAAAGAACATACTGAAGTCAGGTGTGCCATGGGCAGAAACAGTTTAATAACAATTCTAGCATAAAAGCTAAAGATACTTATGTTTCATGATATATTTCTGAATGACGATGTCAATTAATCATGTGCTCTGCCAGTAGAGACTTGTATAAACAGGCTCAATCATGGCATGGCCATTAAATGCCATCATGTCAAACATTATGACATCATAATCATTACAATGTCTGTACAGTACAGTCAGCCGACGTGCATGAATATTTACAAGAAGATCGATCATTGACATCCGGGGTAATGATAAACTTCCTTCCACCATACCATGATGACCATGGCATACGTTACACTCCTCAGTGTCCCCTTCTTCAGATTGTTACTGCCAAAAGAAAGTGTCATGGAAGCCAGTAGTAAACTCATTATACTGCAGTGCCTTCTGAGCATGTTATCCATATGGGTATCAATATCAGTTGTAGTGTTTATCATGCTTATGCTATTCACTTGTATTGCTATAATTTATGTAAAAAAAACCTCAAAACCATAGTAAAAAATAGCAGTTCCATTTTAGCTATACCTTCCTTGCTCAGTGTACCTGTCACCATGGTCACAACAATATCAGTTATATCATGTACACAAACATGCAGTCTGAACACAATGAGGCCGTTCAGTATTTCCCTGACATTATGTGGCACGTTGGTGTGACTATGCCAGACAATGATCTCGGTAGTTACAAGCACTGACCTCCGATACAGTGTGACATGGCAGAGGTCACTAGGTGAATGATGTCATCACACAGTTGATAATATCACATCCTCACGATCATAACATCAGAATGTTAACTAAACGCACAGAAACATCAATGTGGATGTTGACAGGCATACATACAAGTTTCTTTTGTCCCAGAGGCATTTTCCCTTCACAGCATCATCTTGTCTAGGAGATGAGAATTTAGCCAATATTTGTGTACCATCAGATCAATGTTAAACCCTTCAGATAATACAGCCACAAGGTTAGTGAACTACATATCTCAATTAGAAGCTTAATGTTTGTTTGACGGGGCTAACAAGCGTTTGAAACATGAAACCATATAAAACATCACTAATACTGTCATAACATGAGGGGGGGCATAGTCCTCCTTGTGGACAGTGTATTTCGTACTAAGTGCGAGAGTCTGCGAATGCTGCTGATACACTCACAACAGGCCCAAGATCCAGGGCCTAGATCTTCGAAACGATCATAGCCCTAAAATAATGGTAAAGTTAACGTAAGGAAATCGTATGGTATCGTAGCCTAATTTTCGAAACTATCATAGCCCTAAGATACCGTAAGATTGTCGTAAATCTAAGATAGCCCAATACCTGTCGTAAGTTCATCTAAATCTTCATCCATGATGGCAGCTAGCTTTGCCATAGACATTTCACAACAGCGATAACTATATAACGATAACACATAACTATGGAGTCGATAGTTTATAACTTGTTTATCAGAGTCTATGTTAAAAGAAGTGTGAAACAACATACCTTTTTGATAATTTGTGAAGGTTAAAAACGGAAGGTGTTGGCTAGCTATAGTAATGACTGTGACCTTATTGATAACTCAGGAGCAGCTAATCTTAGTTTATACTCTAGTTGAGAGTGGTTTCCCTTTGTATTCGCCCAGCGAGACCATGCTCAATTTTACAGTTTTAATTTAAAAGCGTTCAGACAAGCCAAACATCATCTAATAGATTTGACACATTTACAATTGCAGTTATTTCGCTCCTCAGCCAGATTTAAATCAAATCAGACAAATCAGTTTAATAGCTCTACTTAATTTAAAATGACCTAAATGATCTCCCTTTGTCTGTCACTTTCCAATTATGAAAAGAATTATGGATCTAGATAGATATAAAAAAAAATGACGACATCATCTAAATACATATAGCTTGATATTGAATTTGAGTCCTTTGAAATATATTGGATATATGAATAACAAAACAAGCTTACATTGTTATTACATCTCGCTCGTAGGTGCGCCGCTTCCTGAACCATTTTGTTTTTGAGTGTTTCCAGGTATAATGTTGGTGTTTTCTCCATAAACTTGACTTTTGACATAAACACAAAAAACAAGCAGTATTGTGAAACTGACCCAGTATACATAACGTAACATCAGACCTGAACATGCATCGTAAATGCCGAATGCCTGCTGTTCGATCAAAGGTCTCGTCAATGTAATTTAGAACTCACGGGAGGACAATTTGCAGACAAAATAGTGAAGTATCTTTTTGCACATTATTTCAATTCTAACAGCTATAGTGTGGTAACACAACACTTATTGATTATAACATTTATTGGGTTTGAAAAATGCCTTTGCATGGCACACAAATGCTATGTGTGTTCGGGTCGTCAGGGCATGTTTTATAATAAGAAAAAAACCGTCTACATGTAGGACATATGTAGGATTGTATGGAATGTCACTCAAAGAGTGGAGTGTTAAACAGTGTGACCAGACAATGTGATCATGAATTCCGTGTCACTTCTCCATATTGTTGTTACTGTCAGCGGCTGGAAAATCCCCATGACATCACTGGAAAACACTGTTTTTCTATCTCCAACACAAATGAGTTCTCTGTCAGAGTTATGATGGTTATCATAGCTCTGTACGATCTGTGACAGGTTTACAATAGTTTTGAAAATGTATCTTTTCTTAAACCTAAGATATCTTATTTTTGAATGTATGTTAAGATTAATCTTAGCTAAGATCGTTTCGAAAATCTAGACCCAGGACTGTTATAATGCAGGTGAAGCAGCTTTATCACTCACCCCATCCAGTCCCTTCAACTCATCCCAACAACCAGATGGATTCAGGAGCCCACTCAAAACAAAAGACATGTGATGTAGATATGATCCAAAAATTTCCACATCTGACTATATTAATAATACTTTTGGAAATGATTCAGTGCCATTTGGCTGTATTTTGTAAGGGAGATATGAGTCTTAACCAATTTGGTCAATATTTAGGGACCTGCTACATTAATGTCTTTAGTTTGACCTATTCTTCCAGAAATTGGTCCTCTTCATTCAATCCAGAATCAGCCCTAATGGCTGCTCACAGGATCAAGGTTTGAACAGTTATCACAGTTACAGACACCGTAGCAGCTCAATCTAGTCTAAAAGCACCAAGCATAGTATGTAGTGACTGAATGAACTATTCCCTGCAGGGGTCTTGAACCGCTGCAATGTCCTCGTTGTTGGCGCCGTCTTCTCTGGGTTCACTGAATGCCGACAGCCATGGTAGCATGCTGCCCCAGTGTTGATGTGTTGTCCCTGCTACTGCTGTCTGATGGAGATGATGATGTCTTCTCAGACAAGTTGTTCATCTCCACTTCTGTGATGTTGTCTTGCCGCTTTTTTATCATGTTTCCACTGAAGTAACCTGGAGTAAAATGTGGTCTCCATTAAGTTAGAACATCTGCCTGCAACAGTGTGCTACACTAGCTTGACATCCCATACAATGTGTGATTGATACGTTCTGAGCCTCACAAGGAAAGACTTGACCTAAACACTAATTTTTCAACATGATCCCCTTCCAAAACGATACACATATTTCATATGTGCGTGTGTGCGTGCGTGCGTGAGAGAGAGAGAGAGAGACATGTTGTGCCTGGTGTGTTTTTGATGTCAGAAGCTTTAGAACTCAGTGAGCGGATACTTTCTTTATCGCCAAAGTGACCTAGCCAGTCAGATGTACCTAGCCAGTCAGATGTACCTAGCCAGTCAGATGTACCTAGCCAGTCAGATGTACCTGGCCAGTCAGATGTACCTAGCCAGTCACATGTACCTAGCCAGTCACATGTACCTAGCCAGTCAGATGTACCTAGCCAGTCAGATGTACCTGGCCAGTCAAATGTACCTAGCCAGTCAGATGTACCTAGCCAGTCAGATGTACCTAGCTAGTCAGATGTACCTGGTCAGTCAAATGTACCTAGCCAGTCACATGTACCTAGCCAGTCACATGTACCTAGCCAGTCAGATGTACCTAGCCAGTCAGATGTACCTAGCCAGTCAGATGTACCTGGCCAGTCAAATGTACCTAGCCAGTCACATGTACCTAGCCAGTCACATGTACCTAGCCAATCACATGTACCTAGCAAGTACAATATAGCATGCAGTTACCTACTAGTTTGAACAAGCAACTAAAAAAAAAACACCTCCCACCCGAACTATATTTTCAAAAGTCATTGCCTGAGAGCCAATTCTTTTATTTATTTAAGCCTATTGTAACATGGTGGACAACTGCTAGTTGGCCCTGTCCACTGACACCGTAGATGGAACAACATAGCCTACCTGCCACTCCCCCAGCTGCTGCTGCTAGTCCCCCAATCTTGGCCCCGGCCAGCAGCCCCAGAGGTCCGGCAACCACCCCCCCTAGGACTGCCCCTGCCACAGGAAGGATGGCTGCTTTGTACTTAGCTGCCTGAAACACAGAGAGACTGCCTTCAGAAGTCAAATTAATGCAGGGAAACACATACATTTATAGACAGAAACATGACCAGCTTACAGACACGGAAACCATAGAAATACAAAATAAACAGAGCCATAAGGCTTTGTAGCTCACCTAACGTATGAAGTAATATTTTGATGACACTTCAAACTATTTTGGTACAAATATCTTCAGAGAGTTAAAGAGTGCAAAAAGTCTTTGATATACCCCACCACCCTTTTAAATATGACAATAAGATCACAAAGTGGGGCATATGTATCCATATGTCATACATATGACTATACAAATCCAAACTAGTAAAACTCCCGAGAGAGAGTGACATTATGATGAACCCTGCCAGCATACCTTCGCTAGACTTAAAGCTCCTGTGTTGACATCCTGCTGCGCCTTCTCAATGTTGTCTTCAATGTGGTCGATCTGCTCCCCCTGGTGCTGTGCAGACACACAAGGTAGCAGGTCATACGTAACCAAGGCGATGTTCCAATTGACATCACATAGTACATCTTTCATTTACAGATACATGCTCTTTGACATAGCTGCATTAGTTTCAATGTTTCATTTACCAACAAATAACCATTTTAAAGGCCTCTGTATATACCTGAGGAATTAAAACTAAAATATTCCGGACTTCAACTTTAATTTAGTTACAGCTCTTGTGCATGCATGTCATGTTGTGTGGAGCCTGAATGTTACAGTTGCAAGTTTAGACAGAGAGGTGACTTATGCTGCATTACATTGCTCTTACAACTGAAGTCCTAACTGGAAATGATTGACGAGCTATCAGAGTCTTCAGTAACTCTTTGCCCAACATGACCTCCATGAGCCTCGTGACATCTGGTGTCAGAAGACACGCCTGCTATATGTCATTATTATCTTCGCATACTTCCCTCAGGACTGATGGTTGGGCAGGGAGAAAGACGTCTGTCATAGGAGGGCCCTCTGGTATTGCAGGATGAGTATAGAAATATAAACATAATACCCTGATTATGGAATATGTTTAACTTATCCTGCATTACACATTGCACTTTATCCGACGGAAGGTGGTGGTGCATACCTTCAGTCTAGTGCTAGGATAGCTGCCACGTGTCATGACATCTCGTAGAGTGGTCCTGTAGGTTAGGCTTGCCCGAGGTGGTTAGTCTCCGCTACTCCCTGGGCAGTGAACACCTGCAACAGTAGCACACGTGAACAAACAGACATAACCTTTGGTGCTCTAAGGAGACCTAGGCTAATCGTTGGGTAACCGAGTCGCGGAATCACGCTGTCATGGCGACCCAGAAAACGAGAACCTAAAACCAAGAGTTTAGATAAGCTGGAAATGCTTACAACAACTCGTCCCCTCTCCAAAACTGGAAACGGCTTGATTGAGGGGTGTGGGGATGGGCTGCATCGCAGTCTACCGGCATTTCTTGAGGTTGGTGATCTACTGGATTCCGTGGTGAGCCATGGTTAAGGCCAGGTCCCTGATCTCATGCAGGTTGATGGCCTTGGGGTGCTCAAATCCTGCTGTATCACAGGCCTGCAGGATTGTGGATCTCAGCCAAAAGGAGATGGTATTCCTATAGATTTCTCCTTTACAAGTCAGCGAGGTGGGCATGAACAAGCAGCACCTGTTCTTCCTTCTGGGCCTCGCAACTTCTATGTAGGCTCTGAGGGTCCGGATGGGACATAGCAGATGCTCATCCTGGTCCTCAACCCCCATGGTGGAACGGATGGATGGCATGGTAAAACATCTATCCAGTTGTCCAGGCTGTTGGTTTTTGGCTAAAAAAACCCAGCACAGACCAAGATGGACGGACCCTCTGGAGTGTTGTTCCCACTGGACACGAGTGGCATCTAGAGCATGGAGCTCGCTAATCCTGGCTGCCATAGCTTGAGCTAATGGAAAGACAGTCTTCTGAAAGTGCTGAAAAGAGGCCTTGATGATGGTTCATAGGGGTGTTGTCGGAGGTGCGTGACAACTTCTGATCCTCCAACCTGAAACTCCATATGTTAGCCGTCAACTCCAATATTGCGGATAGCTTCCGGTCTTGACAGACAGGTAGATAGCTATAGTACTGCCCTTAAAGTGTTTCTTCATTCTCAGGGAGTAAGTTATCCACCACGATTGCTCTGTTTCATCTATGGAGGTAACCATGTTGCTGACAAAAAATCTCAAAGGAGGCCCATTTATCATCATACAGCCCCCTGGTGGATGGTCTATGACCCTGAGCTATGGTCAGGGTTGGGCCTGAGGGTCCGGCAATGGAGATATGAACTGAATGTTGTTTCTGGTGGCAAACAGGTCAACATTTGGCTGCCCAACTGCTGGTACAGTAGACAGAATCACTCCAGGTGCAGTTTCCACTCTGTGGGGGATGGACAGTCCGGCCTTGATAGTGCATCGGCCTGGATATTTCTGCACTCAGGTATGTGTCTTGTTCTGTCGCCAATAGAATCCCATCTATTAGGTGATAAAAACGGAACGTCTGATTCAAAAGGGAGTTCGAGTGGATTGATCCAGCTTGCTGATGAACCAGACACCTGTGGTGTTGTCCATGTCAGCTTGGTGTTGGTCAGTTGATTAGCCCAATACTGTACGACTTCCAGTTTCAAGTTGTTGATGCGCCACTGTTTTTGTTCTGGAGACCTCAGCCCTGAGGTTGTTTGGTCCAAGAAGTGGACTCCCCATCCCTGGAATGAGGCGTTGATAAACAGGTGAAGATGATGTGGAGCCTCCCCCTGACCGTAAGGTCCTATGCTGCTGTGAAGAGGCCACTGATGAATGGATTGAGGGCCTGCTAATGCCATCTGGACATATGTGACAACCATGTCCCATTGATCTGGTGGGAGGCACAAGAAGCCTCCTTGAGTAACCAACCCAGTTGGTGAAACAGGCACATCGTGAAATCCTGTTGAGAGATGAGTTGTTGTGTCTCTAGGTTCATGTGGTAGTTGTCTATGTACGACATGAAGCCGATCCCCCTCAGGTGTAGGTAGAAGACAATGGGCTACATAATGCATGTGACGTGGTACTGGTGATTGTTGAAGACGAATCCCAGGTGCTTTCTCTGTGTGTGTGTATGTGTTTGTGTTAGTGTGTGTTAGTGTGTGATGTGGACCCTTCTATTTCTTGCCGTTACATAAACCTGACTTGGCAGCAAACATCAACTACGCTCAGACCAGTATGAAATTTAACTAGCAAAGGATAGAATCTTAAAACAAGAGTCATCCGAAGATGACATATTCCCCCGACGTGGCATGTTGGTAAACTGTGTGTACCTTCAAATGTATTTAGATCGGCAAGGAAATCTTTTTCCTTGATGCCAAAACTAGAAATATAATGAAGGTTATTAAATATTGGTTCATGTAGCTCACTTTCTGATGATCTCATGAAATTGTAATAACAATAACTTCGCAGATTCGCATATGAATAGCTCTGTAGTAGCTTAATGACACACAGGCATAAAGAGAATGTACTAGGCTATGTAGCTCACATCATATGTAGTATATGATATCGATAAATAGTACACCTTAGAATTATATGGGAGATATGATCCGGACAAGAGCACTACCTTCAAATTTCCTAAGTTCATCATATTTCCGTGGAAACGACAAAAATATAAAATTCTAAAAATCTCTGAATAGCAAAAGGCACTAACACTGAGCCTGATTGGTAAGTGTACCAAGTTTTGTGAAGCTAGGTTGTACTGTTTAGGAAATATGCTCCGGACAAACAATGATTACAGACGGACGGACGGACAGACGGACATACTGATGGCTATATCCCTCCGTCATTATATGTGGGGGGGGGATAAAAAACTGGATAAGATCTTGTCTCTCACATCCTGCTTAGGGAAGAAGAGAATAATGACAAATAGGGGCCATGTCTTCTGACACCAGATGTCACGAGGGTCATGTTGGGCTAAGAATTACTGAAGACGCTGATCGTCATTCATTTCCAGTCTACTTTGGTAGTAAGAGCAATGTGCAATATGTAATGCAGGATAAGTTAAAAGTTTAGGTCATGGTAAATGCATACATTGATAGGAGACTGATGATATTAGATTATAGCAGATACATACATAGACAGACACTGATGATGTTAGATTATAGTAGATACATACATAGACAGACACTGATGATGTTAGATTATAGTAGATACATACATAGACAGACACTGATGATGTTAGATTATAGTAGATACATACATAGACAGACACTGATGATGATAGATTATAGTAGATACATACATAGACAGACACTGATGATGTTAGATTATAGTAGATACATACATAGACAGATACTGATGATGTTAGATTATAGTAGATACATACATAGACAGACACTGATGATGTTAGATTATAGTAGATACATACATAGACAGACACTGATGATGTTAGATTATAGTAGATACATACATAGACAGACACTGATGATGTTAGATTATAGTAGATACATACAAAGACAGACACTGATGATGTTAGATTATAGTAGATACATACATAGACAGACACTGATGACGTTAAATTATAGTAGATACATACATGTTACGTTATAGTAGATACATACCTCGACCATAGATGCAAATTCATGGATCATCTCATTGAGCTCCACCAGGTTCTGAAATAAATAGGAGCTGTGGGTGTGCAGGACAATGGGCAGGGATAGACATGCAAGCTAGGAGTAGTTTCACAGAACTCAATTTGTATTCTTTGTACACAAACATAAAAAAAGTTTCATTACTGACAAATCAATATTTTATACTGCCTTTGACTCACTCAGATAAGTTATAGAAAGCATGTTAACTTTGGATGGTCAATATTATGCTGATAAATAGTTACATTATCCATTGTTATTATGCATCATAGATGGAGTCCTGTATCATGATAACACCAATACCAAATGATGATTAAGGGATTCTTCTTTCCCCATTTATCATTGTTTGGAGAGACAGGGTCCCGATCCACAAAGCCTTTGCAGCATTACGACCTATTATCATTGGCTTACAAATGATGGACTGCTACGAACGCTTTGTGAATCTGGGCCCTGAAGCATGGTCTGCAGTGAAATATGGATGTTTCAGATTCCAAACAGTACCAGGGAAGGCAGTCTCACATCTTCACCACAATCTACTTGCTGGGGATGGGGCAATCACAATCCCTGACATCACAAACTGGGTGTCCCTCCTCCTAATCTAGAAGCATGAGTGTAAGTATAGTCTGAGTGTGCCATCCAGTAGTGAGAGGATGGACTGTAAGTATAGTCTGAGTGTGCCATCCAGTAGTGAGAGGATGGACTGTAAGTATAGTCTGAGTGTGCCATCCCGTAGTGAGAGGATGGACTGTAAGTATAGTCTGGGTGCCATCCAGTAGTGAGAGGATGGACTGTACGTATAGTCTGAGTGTGCCATCCAGTAGTGAGAGCATGGACTGTAAGTATAGTCTGGGTGTGCCATCCAGTAGTGAGAGGATGGACTGTAAGTATAGTCTGAGTGTGCCATCCTACAGTTAGAGGATGGACTGTAAGTATGGTCTGAGTGTGCCATCCAGTAGTGAGAGCATGGACTGTAAGTATAGTCTGGGTGTGCCATCCAGTAGTGAGAGGATGGACTGTAAGTATAGTCTGAGTGTGCCATCCTACAGTTAGAGGATGGACTGTAAGTATGGTCTGAGTGTGCCATCCAGTAGTGAGAGGATGAACTGTAAGTATAGTCTGAGTGTGCCATCCTACAGTTAGAGGATGGACTGTAAGTATAGTTTGAGTGTGCCATCCTACAGTTAGAGGATGGACTGTAAGTATAGTCTGAGTGTGCCATCCAGTAGTGAGAGGATGGACTGTAAGTATAGTCTGAGTGTGCCATCCAGTAGTGAGAGGATGGACTGTAAGTATAGTCTGAGTGTGCCATCCCGTAGTGAGAGGATGGACTGTAAGTATAGTCTGAGTGTGCCATCCAGTAGTGAGAGGATGGACTGTAAGTATGGTCTGAGTGTGCCATCCAGTAGTGAGAGGATGGACTGTAAGTATAGTCTGAGTGTGCCATCCCGTAGTGAGAGGATGGACTGTAAGTATAGTCTGAGTGTGCCATCCTACAGTTAGAGGATGGACTGTAAGTATAGTTTGAGTGTGCCATCCTACAGTTAGAGGATGGACTGTAAAGATAGTCTGAGTGTGTCATTCAGTAGTGAGAGGATGGACTGTAAGTATAGTCTGGGTGTGCCATCCTACAGTTAGAGGATGGACTGTAAGTATAGTTTGAGTGTGCCATCCTACAGTTAGAGGATGGACTGTAAAGATAGTCTGAGTGTGCCATCCAGTAGTGAGAGGATGGACTGTAAGTATAGTCTGGGTGTGCCATCCTACAGTTAGAGAATGGACTGTAAGTATAGTCTGGGTGTGCCATCCAGTAGTGAGAGGATGGACTGTAAGTATAGTCTGAGTGTGCCATCCTACAGTTAGAGGATGGACTGTAAGTATAGTCTGAGTGTGCCATCCAGTAGTGAGAGGATGGACTGTAAGTATAGTCTGAGTGTGCCATCCAGTAGTGAGAGGATGGACTGTAAGTATAGTCTGAGTGTGCCATCCTACAGTTAGAGGATGGACTGTAAGTATAGTCTGAGTGTGCCATCCAGTAGTGAGTGAAATATGGATGTTTCAGATTCCAAACAGTACCAGGGAAGGCAGTCTCACATCTTCACCACAATCTACTTGCTACCACCTACATAAGTACTGAAACATTTGTCAAAATTATCATGCCTGAATGCACTTCAATATTTTTGTGCAGCATTTCTCCCTCTTATCACCAATCTATCATGAAAGGGACAATGAAATCTCACAGTGCACAACTCAGAGGATGGGGCAATCACAGTCCCTGACATCACAAACTGGGTGTCCCTCCTCCTAATCTAGAAGCATAAGTGTAAGTATAGTCTTGGTGTGCAATCCAGTAGTGAGAGGATGGACTGTAAGTATAGTCTGAGTGTGCCATCCTACAGTTAGAGGATGGACTGTAAGTATAGTTTGAGTGTGCCATCCTACAGTTAGAGGATGGACTGTAAGTATAGTCTGAGTGTGCCATCCTACAGTTAGAGGATGGACTGTAAGTATAGTTTGAGTGTGCCATCCTACAGTTAGAGGATGGACTGTAAGTATAGTTTGAGTGTGCCATCCTACAGTTAGAGGATGGACTGTAAAGATAGTCTGAGTGTGTCATTCAGTAGTGAGAGGATGGACTGTAAGTATAGTCTCAGTGTGCAATTCTGTAGTAAAAGGGTGAACTTCTCAATTGTTTTTGTAATCCAGCAGGGATATTGTTGCAAACACAGCTTAGAGTGTAATCCTGTAGTGAGAGGAGGGACTGTAAGTTTAGCTTAGAGTGTAATCCTGTAGTGAGAGGAGGGACTGTAAGTATAGCTTAGAGTGTAATCCTGGAGTGAGAGGAGGGACTGTAAGTTTAGCTTAGAGTGTAATCCTGTAGTGAGAGGAGGGACTGTAAGTATAGCTTAGAGTGTAATCCTGTAGTGAGAGGATGGACTGTAAGTTTAGCTTAGAGTGTAATCCTGTAGTGAGAGGATGGACTGTAAGTATAGCTTAGTTTGTAATCCTGTAGTGAGAGGAGGGACTGCACACACAGCTTAGAGTGTTGTAGAATTTTCCTATTCGGAATATTCTATAAGTAATACGTTACCACTGTTATACCGAGGCTGTTGTCTCCCACAACTGCTGCTATAGCGAAATCTACCACAGAGATCTCAATTACCTCATGCAGCACGTGTGTAGCCACCTAGCTGCCATGTGACACCCTTCACTCTTGTCTCTTGCGAGAGCAAGTGCTCGGGGGACGGACGGGCAGCAGCCCAGTGGTAACGTATTACTTATAGAATATTCCGAATAGGAAAATTCTACAAATTACATTAAGTAATATGTTACCACTGTTATACCGAGGCTGACTACCACAGTAGGAGCTGGGGAGCACCTACAACCCGAATCCTGACTGCTAGCGTTCCTTCCGACCAGCGGAAGTAAACACCAAGGCGGAAGCACTCGAGGCGCATGCACCTAGCTAGGCGTTACCCTATAGGAATACCAAAGCACTGTCAAGCGCATACCGTAAGGCTCAATCGTCATTGCCAAAACGATTGGTGACTCCAAACGGCCCCACTGGATAGGTATTTCATCGCCGCAGCGGATGAGAACACAGTATCTGCGTGAGCTAAATCTTAGATCAGGTTAAACAGTCGAAAAGAGGGAAATTAATTTCATTCGGACCGTATATCCCAGAGCAAGCCTACTTAAAGTATGCATTAGGCGCGTGACCTAATTCCAGTATTTGTAAGCATGCATCACAAGGTTGGGATACACGACAGACAATTAAATACATAATTGTCAAAATACAAATAAGGACAAAGCACACAAAAAGCCGCCCTCACCTGTGGTGTGAGTGCGCTGGTTTGCGGGACCCCAACTCCTGTACCCACGGCAGTGGGAACATTGGAGTCGACCCAGATTGACCACCGTGCAAGGTCTGACGCCTGAGGAGTTTGGAATTGCGCTGGGCACACCCCTTAGGTGACCGCTTGCGCCGCGATCAGCGGCCCAAGACGGTGCACACTCTCCACGTCGTCATCAGCGACCTGTTTGAGGTAATGATTGGCAAAAAAACGAGTCAGAACGCCAGTAACAACCTCGTAATATTCTGCGAACAGAGATATTCGAGTGTAGGGCAAATGTTGCTGCTAGCGCCCTGATCTCGTGCGGGTTTGACCCCGCTACCGGTACCCCCCGAGACCGGTACGCCAGATTGACGACAGAACGAAGCCATACCGCAATCGAGTTGCGATTTATGTCAGCAGTGCGATTAGGGTTACACGATATGAACAGACGGTCACGCCCTTGTCTGCGTTCATTCGGAGCCTTAAGATAATACTTAAGGGCCCTAACCGGACACAGTGATCTGTCCTCAGTATCAGCAGGATGTAAGATTTCCTTGAGTGATCTTACAGTGAATTCTCTCTCCGTTTGGCCCATGTCAAAGGAGAGGAGAAATGCTGTTTACCAAGTCACATGCCGGAACGAAGCACTACTCAAGGGTTCCTACGGAGCTTCCGTAAGTGATTTCAACACTAAGGAAAGATCCCAGGCCGGTGCCCGAAGGCGGCCTTTCTGAAGATCGTGCTGTTTGAAACCCTTGATAATACCCCGAATCACCGGCTCTTATGAGAGACTGGTACCCATAGCAACGTCCCCTACCGTAGCAACGGAAGAGACATAGTTGGCAATGGAACCCCCGGAGAGTTTCCGGGTCTCTCGCAAGTGAGACATGAAACGAGCAATATCCTGCACAGATACCTTATCTGGCGAATGAATGTGATGTTTACAACACTACTTCGTGAAAATAACCCAACGTGCATTATACACCTTCTGGGTAGAATCACGATGCATACTAACGTATGCCCGAGATGCCCGACGAGAAAAAACCTTTACTCCTCAGACGCTCGGTGACAACATCCACGCGTGCAGATTGAACTGCCCTGCGTTTGGATGAAGCTGACGGGTGTGAGGGTGGATCAGGAGATCCGGTCTCACAGGCAGTGGGAGTGGCGACTGCGTGACCTGGGTCAGCA